TCGATATTTCTAACATCTTGTTTATAAGTCTGTTGTTCGGCTCTCGATTTGGGGGGCTAGAATTGTTAATATCAGAGAAAAAGCTCAAACTATGTAAAGATTCTTTAATTTTCTGTTTGTTTGCTGGAATTAGGTAGCATCACACTGCAGCTACATTTTATTTCAAGGTGTAAAATGCAAATTCCAGTTTTGATGGGCTTTTCAGTTCTAAAAATTGGAAATTTTTTTAGAAAATGAGTTCTGAAAGTAAAAAACTTGAGGAGAAAGATGCTTTAACGTATAAGCATTCTCAAGCTTTAGAGGGCTTTCTACAGGCAGTAGTACCCATTACACAGATCAGGAGAGTTGTGGCCCGAACCCCCAAAGCTCTGCTGCTGCCTTTGAAAGGCTGTTTTGTTGTTGTTGTTGTTGTTGTTGCTTTGTTTTTTAATTTCTACGTCCAGAAATAAGAGCAAAGTAAGAAAAGAAGAAGTGGAGAAACTGATCCCGGAGCAGAGTTACCAGTGGTAACTTCCTTTCCCATTCTGTCTGAAGTTTTCCTTTCACTGTCTTACAACCTGTGAAAGATTAATAAATTTTATAAGCATCTTTTAAATGTTTAAACAACTTTAATAGTTATGTACATCAGTATGAATCATTTCGGCAATATTGCTGTTCTCAGAACTCCTGAGATAACGGTCTCACAGAGTTTGAAGATCATTTCACAACTTAGAGCACTTTGGGGGCAGGACCGCTTCAGGGAGATGCTGGTTAGAAGGTTAACAAAACCTAAGGAGACTGAAGAGGAAGCGCCAGGTGGTGTGTGAGAAGGACACAGAAAAGAAAGTGTAGCATCAAGTATTTCAAAATTTTGACTAGCATTCACTCTTCACAAAGATAATAGAGCAGGAACATCATCTTCCACTTCTATGCCCTACTGTTGGGATGCAGAGCTCAAGCTGGTATTATTTGGATTGTAAGTAAGCTTTATTGTCAGGTAATTGGACTTAATGTGGATGTGCCTGAGGATCTCGCCACTTGCGTGACAGCACTGTCTAATAGAAATATAATGTATAACACTGTCTAATTTAAAATGTTCTAGTGGTCACAATTTAAAAAGTAAAAAGAACACAGATAAGATTAAGTTGAATATATTTAATTCAGTCTGTCATTCATCCAGAATATCATTTCAATGTGTGATCAATATAAAAGATCATTACTGTGTAGATGTTTTACTTTTTTGTATACTAAGTATTCCAAATCTGGTTTGTATTTTACACTTAACAGCATACCTCAGTTAAGACTAGCCACATTCCAAGTGTTCAGAAAACCAGTAGCAGTCATTTTGGACAGTATGGATATGGAACATAGTTCTAGAATGAAAATGTTTCTCAAGTTCTAAATAATAGACAAAATTTTGGAATACAGTCTAAAAATTCATTTGACCTTTCTGAGCCTTGGTTTCCTGTCCTGTAAAAGTGGAGCATTGGAGTAGGTGAGCTCTAAGATTTCTTTTGGTTCCACTATTATGTGTGTCTAGAGAAACTAACTAATGATATTTTTATAACAATATCCCATGGAATTTCTTCTTCTATAATTAAGCTGTCATTGATCAGATTCAATTGAGAATATTTTATTAGACCATAAGTGGTAAAGCTGGGTTCAAACCACAGTCAGTCTTTATCACTAAGCTTGTGTTCTCTCCACTATACTGTATAGCCTCCTTCTCAGTCCCAGGAATGTTTATGGTACCAGGGTAGGGGATAGAATGTTGAGGTTAATTACATTTCAGTAAGCAGCAGCTTTATTATTGAATACTGATAGTTTTTATGCTGTGTTTACTAATTGTTACAAGGTAGTTTAATTTCTTTTCCTTCTTTCTCTTTCTGGGCCACCAGGCTTTGTTTTAATATTACAAATCATACTCTTTGACCAGTCCCATGGACTGTTCCATCCCCTTGACTTTCATGGTACTTTACAGTAAGGATAGCCAGAAAGAAGCAGCGGGGTAACACAAGCAAATTAACTGTAAAGACCTTTGACTGTAAGATCAGGAAGCCTGACAGCCTCAGAATCAAGTCTGCAGTGAGAATTTGACTCATCATGATTGAGGATAAAAGAGGCTCCCCTTCCTTTAAATATTGTACCTAATTCCCATGGTAAAAGACTGTCTTCTTTTAAAAAGAGGTTGCAAACTAGTGACCGTTTTACTGTTTGCACACCAAAGGGGTATTTTCACATAGTATTTTCTCTTTTTCTGGCAAAGGAGTAAATATTTTAAAATTGGGAACTTTCTCAATAAGGTATAAATTTCCTCACTCCTGGAAAATGAGAAAATCTAGCAACATTGGGCCCACTTCTTCCATGGACTTGACTAGCTCTGCCTCCCTGAGATGAGGCATGGGGTGTGCCAGTCCCCCCCCCCCCCAGTCATCCTGTCTTCTCCCACTGCTCTCATTTTGCATTTCCTGCCTGGGCCTGTAGACATTTGTGACCGCTGTTTTAAAGTGTACATGATAGTGTCAGCAGAATTTAGCATATTTGCCTAATGTTTTCAGGACAGTCACTCTAAAGTTTATGAAGAGATCTTATGGTGTATTAAATCTTGCATTATAAGCAGTTCCTAGACAGTGTTTAGAATGGTCAAAAATCCTTCTCAAAGGGAAGGTAATAAATATTTGTTGAGGATTTCATATTGTAATTTGCACTGTGATGTCTTCTTGCATCAATTATAATCTGAGAATAGTAGTATTTTATGTATTAGAAAAAGATGCCAAGTCACACAGCTAGCAAGGGTCCCAGTCAATCTTTTTCCAAACCTCTTGTTCTTTCTACTATCATGTATTGCTCCCCTCTCAGTCCCAGAAATTATTTGCAGTGCCTTGGTTACATACTTGGTCTCCAAAATATATACTGCCAGTTTAGAGGCAGGAAAAGCATTTTTATCCTAACAACAAGCGTTGGCATTTTTACATTAGAAAAGTTGACAAGCACTAGGTAGGAAGGTAGTTCCTTCGCTTTTACTTTAGTTGCATGTGCTGCTTGACAGCTGATAAAAAAAAATAAGTATAGTATTCTATTAGCAAACGAGAGCTTTTTTTTTCCTTTGATATTATCCTTAACCTATTGTCTTTGCTGGACATGCAGTCTCCTCTAAGTGGTGATAGAAGCATCTATTAAAGGTTTTATTTTTTCATTCAGAAAACATTTATGATACGCTTCTGTGATCAGAGTTTCCAAAGGACAGGATATCTGCCTTTAAGAATGTATGTTCTCCCTGGCTGGCGTAGCTCAGTGGATTGAGCGCAGACTGCAAACCAAAGCATCACAGGTTCAATTCCCAGTCAGGGCACATGCCTGGGTTGCAGGCCACGGCCCCCAGCAACTGCACATTGATGTTTCTCTCTTTCTCTGTTTCCCTCCCTTCCCTCCCTAAAAATAAATAAATAAATAATCTTTAAAAACAAAGACCCAAATATATAAACTTAAAAAAAAAGAATTTATGTTCTAAAAAAAAAAGAGTGAAAGTTATAAACAAATTTACATCAGTAAGAAAGTAAACAAAAAAAGGACAAGAAGATACAGATAAAGATGATTGCAGAAGGGAAATAGGTGCAGCTGGTAATCATTGAGTTATCAAAGTTCATCTATGCTAAACATCATCAGGAAGGAGAGCCCACTCTTAGATTCAGAAGTAATCAAGACATACATCATGTGGTGTTAAAATCATGGCGTGGGAGGTGTTAGCCTGTTCTTAGATCTTAGAGGCTGAGCACACTGTGAGTAATAATAATAAAAATAACTTGAACTTCTCACCCATAACAAGCACAATTTTTAAACCTGACTCTGAAGAAATACTTGCAGGCATTCAGAACAGTAACGTACCTTTCCTTCTTCCATAGTTTGCATTATATAAACTATTGAAATTATTATGCACCTCTCTTCCTTAGCAGCTTAGGTCATTATTAGAGATCCTCAGGTTGTATCAGCCTGCAGTTAATGACCACATTTTCAGTCTGTTTCTGATGCTGTTTTCGTGTTGCACAAGACAAGTTGGCAAGTGCTAGACTTCCTATGCTTTGTATTCAGTCCCGTATTTTCTCCTTCTCTTTTAGGTTGTTTTATAACCATTTCACAACCACTATCAACATTTATTAAACCTGTCTGCACATAGGTGGGAATAGTGGGGCCAGGGATGGGTTGCTTTTTTTTTTTTTTTTAAGCGTAAACGATCTCATCTGTTAAGTGAAGTATTGCTTCCATTTGTAAAAGGTGTATGATAAACACTGATTTGATTCTAGATTTGTCTTTTTGGCATTTTGAGTTTTAAACTATTGCAGATCTTATAAAGAGCTATTGCTTATGTAAATAAAAGATGTTTTAGAACCTATGCTGCTAACTAGAAATTGTTTCCTAGCATGTCTTTGAAGATGTTAGTGTATTATTATTATTGAATTTCATTGCTTAGCTCCAAGGCTGATTGTAGACACAACTGTGAAGTAAGGGACATTGGTCCTCCATCCCTCTCAGCCCTGTTCACAGCCATGTGTAGCAGGGCTTCTAGTCTCTCTCCCTGTCCTGACTTACGAGGGTATTTGACTTCTCTCCTTGTGGTATGTAAGTCATTAAACATCAGTAGGTGGATCAAGTAGGGTGGTAGATATGGTTGTTGTCTGCCATAATAATCTCTTTCTTCTTTTTAACTGTTAGAGAAACTTCCATGACAAAATTATTTTCTTTTTTATTTTTCTACCTCAACCTTCCTGGCCTTGTTGAGATATGTCAACTTAAACAGATAAATTCTGTTTTGATTATGAAAATATTCTCATTTAAGGAAATGACCATTAGTTTTTTCCTACAGCACTTTGGACTAGATCTTTATACAAAAAGACAGTGATATATAATGAGACTAGAACTGTAAAGTAGCTATTTTTTATTGTTTTTATTGTATTACAATAATCCACTTTTCTGTATTATTCAGAAAAGGCATCTGATTTAATTTTTGTCTTGTGTTTCAACAGAAGGAGAATATGTTAAAATGTTTATGCGAGGTCGGCCTATTACAATGTGTTTTCCTTCTGATGTTGACAACTATGATGACATCAGAACAGAACTGCCTCCTGAGAAGCTCAAACTGGAGTGGGCGTATCCTTTTCTACCATGACAATAAATTTATTGCTTTGTTTGAGAAAAATGAGTTTGCCTAACCGCTACCAAAATGATTTTTATCCCAGAAAAGTAAATGTAATAAGCATAACAGGCACCTGAGAAAGTAAGGAAATGTCAGTTGTGATCCTATCACCTATTTTATATATTTTGCTATTAGCAATTAAAATTGCCAAAATTAATGTCTTTGAATAGGGCAAACAGTATCTGTGATCATCACAGCAGGTATTTGTGATATAGTAGAAAAGTCATTGGACTGGAATTGGAAGAATGGGGTTTGAGTTTCTGCTCTGCCACTTACTGCCAGTGAACCTAACTTTCTTCATTTATAAAGGAGTTAATAACCCCTGCCTCACAGGTCTGTTGTGAGAATTAAATAAGAAAGCATCAGTTTAAGTATTTTGTAACCTGTGAAATAATGTGAATTATTAAGAGCTCAAATGAACAAGGTTGCTTTTTAATTCCAGAATTAACTTCTGTTCTCAGCTAGACTTTTTAAAGAAATGACTCCATAAAATGGAGCTCGCACCCTAGCCAGAGAGCTAAATTGGTTATAGCATTGTCCTGATACGCCAAGGTTGTGGGTTTGATGGCCAGGCAGGGCACACACCAGAATCAACCAGTGAATGCATGAATAAGTAGAACAACAAATCAATGTGTGTCTGTCTGTCTCTCTCTCTCCCTCCCTCCTTCCCCTTTGTCTTTCTCTCTAACATCATTTTAAAAAAATTTTTTTTTACATAGACGCTCTCCCTACCAAACCTTTTAATAGACATTCTGCCTATCAAACTGTGCCTGGCTGTCTCTAATTTATCATTTAGGTCAAGCATAAATGTCACTTTCTCAGATAGCCCTTCTTTTGATCCCTGTTTTTCTCTCCATTTACATTAGGTCCTCCTCTTACAATGTGATTCTTTTCACAGCCTCTTATTTTTCTTTCCACAGTTTCTAATGATATAATTGGCCTTTATTTTTGTCATCTTTGCCAGGGTATAAGCTCCAGGGACACAGGCCCCACATTGGTTTTAATGTTTAGCTCTGTGCCTGACACATCAGGTACTCAGCAGGTATTTTGTCTGGTGAGTGGGGAAACTAAGTGGCAGACACAGTGGCAGACGGGAGTTTTCAAGCTCCAGTCCAGTCCTCTTTACGTTGTACCTTTCTGATTCCCTTAAGTTTTTTTGACAGATTGTTCATTTAACACCTTAAAAATTTTGTTTGTTAAAAAACTTGACTCTTTCTTTTAAGATATGGTTATCGAGGAAAGGACTGTCGAGCTAATGTTTACCTTCTTCCTACTGGGGAAATAGTTTATTTCATAGCATCAGTAGTAGTACTATTTAATTATGAGGAGAGAACTCAACGACACTACCTGGGTCATACAGACTGTGTGAAATGGTTGGTATCATTTAACGTTGCTCTTTTTTAAATTGCATGCCCTTTTTCGTTTTTAGGGTTTTGTAAAAATTTTGATTTTATTGGAAATTTCTTGTGGAGAGCTCAGAATTGAAGGTATTGTGAGCATTCTGTAGAATATATTTTGAAAGGAAAAAAGAACTTACAGGCCTCCAAAACAGTTGGTGTGATATCAGCAGCCGTAAAACACTTCACCTATAATTCTCGATTGGGACCTCGTCTGCTTTCTCAGATCTTTCGTGCTCCTTTTCTTCCATCCTGTAGTATCAGGTGTATGTGAGGCACACTAGACTTTTAAAGATATCTGAGAGTGATTATTAGTTACTAAATATTATTGAGGATTTGGTCTATGCAGATAAATATTTGGGCTTGATTTTCTTTTTAGGAGAAAGAAATCATAATTGAATAAGGATCATAAGTATCCCATAGGGTGTCAAACTGTAAAAATGTGAGAACTAAATGTTTAGGCATGTTTTAAAATTACTCAATTAATTTTACTGCTTTTTAATTAAATTCAATAATTTATTGCTTGAATTTATTACTTTGCAGCATTTAAAAGCTTCTCTATGTTCATACTATTCTTGCAACTATATCTTTATCAGGAAAAAATAATATAAAACTATTAGAATATTATACGGATATTGTTAAACTTTTAGAGATGATTAAAATATTGCCTTTTACACTGGAAGAATAATATAGAATTATTTATTGCAATAGTAAAAATTGCAAGCAGCCTGTCACTTAGCTGGGGACTAGTGAAGTTGCATTGTACCCATAGGTTTCCATGCAGCTATTAAAAAAGCATGAGGAAGCTCTTTATGTACTCATATTAATATAGAAAGACCCCTAATATGTACCAGTATTCCAAATTACAAAGTTACAGGGCAGGAAAATGTGCACAGTATTTTACCATGTGGAAGGGGGGAGGGTGCAAAACAAATACTTATCTTGGCTTCCACATATGTGAAAAATTTCCAGATTTAATAAAAAGAAGCTGATTAAGATGGGGCAGGGTAGGAAAGAGACTTTTCTCAGTATGTCCTTTTATAGCTTTTGACATTTGAACCATGCAGTTGTGTTACCTAATCCAGAAATTTTACTTGAGTCTGTGTCTGACTAAAAACTATAGTTGTCATTAAGCAGTCTTGACAAAGCTTCTTCTTTATATCCTTAATTATAGGAGTTCCATTCAGCTAGTCTTCAGATGGTTCTCAAGGGTGCTTGTTCTGTAGTAATTTAGTTGTAGCTGTGGGAGGAAGTGAGCACAGTGTTTACCTATTCTACCATCTTGACTGGAACTCCAGAAACTTTACTTTTAAAAATGTGTTTTAAAAAATATTCCAAATGTTAACGTATTAGATTTTTAGTTACTTTTAATGTAGTTGACCTGAATAAAGGACATAAACTAGTAAGAAGAAATAATATTAAAGAAACATTACTAATAAACTCTATCCTCCTTAGTAATCAAAGAGATTAAAACAAGTTATCATTTATACCAGTCAGATTATCAAGTCATCTTAACGATATAATCCTTAAGGGGAAATTATAATGAAACTTTTAAAACATATTTATTTCTTAATGATAGTTTAAATTGACACTGTTCTTCTGGAAAGCAATGAGCAAAACATATCAAGAACAAAAGATGTATATTCTCAATTTGAGCTTGCCCCTTGGTTGCAAGATGTAGAAAGAATCTACATATGAACACGAAGACATCTTTTTAAAATTTTTACTAGTTATATATTTATCATGAGGAATGTGGGCATATATACTGTACTATTTTCCATTTGTACTTAAAAATTTCTTGCCCCAAGTTTGACCTATAAGAATGTAGTCTTCAGAGCTAATTAAAAGGTTGGAGGCACTAGATGTGAAGATGTTCACCCTTGTGTTCCTTTGTAGAAAAGTAGAAATAACAGAAGAGCTGTTAGGTTAATAATATGTAAAGATTGTGTAGCAAAATGGAAAAAATGCTTGTTTTAATAGATTGAAATTACAGTGTAATATTGCATCTTTATTGTACTAAGACCACATGATTATGTATATGAACATAGGTGCAGGACTAGAAAGAAACCTGAACAAATAAAAATAGTTTAGGTGAAGGGATTAAGCAAAAAGAAATAAAAATGAACCTCATAACCACAGACAACATGGTAATTACCAGAAAGGAAGCTGATGGAGGGAGGTAGAAGAAAAAGGTAAAAGGTAAAAGAAAGCAGCTTAACTTATTATGTCACAATTGTGAATAAGTATTTTCTTCAGATTTAGTGTTTGATTAATTTGTTCAGTTTAACAAAGAAAGAAGTTCGGCTGAAAACTTAGAAAAGAAAGCCTTTGATAGTTGATGTTTGTTTTGCTGAAGAAAATAAAACAAATAGGTCACAATGAAATCTTAATGATTGAAAAACTATTTTAAAAATGTTGATAGATACTAAGGCGTATTTCTGCTGTTTCACATGCTCTCCCTCTATTTAAAATTGTTAATACTGCTTTTTAGCCTTGCTGTACACCCTGACAAAATCAGGATTGCAACTGGACAGATAGCTGGAGTGGATAAAGATGGAAGGGTGAGTGTGCAGTTTTATGCCTTTTGTACCTGGTGACATTGCTATTAGAATGGAATTGACGGTACTTTTTATTACATCTCATTTTTCTTCTTTTAAAACTTAACTATTAAGATTTCTAGTATAAATAAGGAAAAAATATTAGCATATAAGAACATTCCAAAAGACAAAACAGAATCATACTACTTAAATGATTTTTTCTAGAAAAGAAGTGTTCTCTCTAAGGAAGCCATTTTCTCTATAAAATGGGAGGACTGATAAGGTTGCTATTTTTTTTTAACATGGAGTAAGTTATCTGTGCATGTCAGAGCAATGCAATTTCCCTAAATTGAAGGACCCCTTGATTTTATATATGAGTAGCACTGATAACACTTAAAAATTTTTAGTTACTATTCAGTAACACTAAATAGGCTTAAGTAACAAATCCCTTATTCATAAGACTCAGCGGTGAAAATTAGTGGTGAATGACTAGCAGTATGTACTGTACTCATGGCATTCTCTGGCTTCAGTTTCTTTAACAAAAAAGAGTTGGAGGGGTTATGTTAGATGACTTATAAAACCCCTTCCAGGTCCAGATTCTGTTTTAAGAACTGTTTTCTCAGCAATTTATTGAACACTAATTTTTAAAAGTAGTATTGTCCCAGAAATAAAGGTAATGCTATAAAACTAGAGTATCCAGAGCAAGTTTTCCTGGGTTGGAATCCTGACTCCACCTTTTAATAGCTGTATAACTTTGGACAAGTTATTTTAACCTCTGCATCTCAGTTTCCTCATCTGTTAAATGGTGATTATAATAGTACATGGCTCATAGAATTATGAAGGTTAAATGAATTAATACATGTGATGTACTTAGAATGATGTGTGGCATGTAGCAACTACTCAGATCGTCTGCTGCTGCTACCATCATCACTGTTGTTATATGGTTATTTTCAAAGTATGAGGAGAAAATACCTGCTCAGGATTGTTAGGCATATCTAAATGTAGGTATTTTTATTAGATATTTATTCATCCCTCTTACTTTTTAAAGATAACAAACAGTTCTGTGCTTTAGTGGTATTTATTGTCATCCACCCATGCACCAATTAGTCCTACTGTCTTGTGTTTCTCCCTTTGGTTTTGCAGCCTCTGCAACCCCATGTCAGAGTGTGGGATTCGGTTAGTCTATCCACACTGCAGATTATTGGACTTGGGACTTTTGAGCGTGGAGTAGGATGCCTGGATTTTTCAAAAGCAGTAAGTAACACTTTTTAAAGAAGTAAGCAGGTGGTACAAAGAAGCTAAAAAGAAGTTAAGCTCGGTTTTGTGTGTGTGTGTGCATGTTCACAGAAAGTGATAACTCTGAATTGAAACATGAGATGTGAGCCAGCATCAGTACTTACTGAAGTACTTTGGTTTAGACAGGATCCAAGATATTACACTTAATTATACTTAATTTTGTTCTCTCCTGAAATAGAATTCTAGTATACTATCAGGGAATCATTAGAGGAATACATGCATACCATTATAAAATTAAAACAAGCAGTAAAATATGCTTTTGTTTAGTTTGAACGATGGAGCTGTTTATTTAGAAAATTCAGACATGTACCTTAGCTGATTATGCACAAATATTGTCTTTTCTTAATGTCATGTTGGAGCAAGAGAACAATCAGACCTTTGTATTTATTCACAAAAGTCATGAATTAACTTCCTTCTGAACTGATGACAACATGAGTTTAAAATTCAGAGCTTAGCAATTTTACCTAACCCTTGAGGCTTTATTCTGAGGAGAAAATAAAACAGAACGTTACTCATTTAAACATTCTATTCACTCTTGAATTATATGTAATTACTACAAAGTATATAGGAGACCTACATTTTAGGATCCATAATTTTTCATTTCAGATATAAATATTCCTCCAGATTTTATTGGGTCTCATTTATACTTTAGAATATATTTATGTATTCATATCATCTCTTCAGTTCCTATCAGCAGCTGTGCTCTGGATTATGGGAGTTTTGGGGGGGACATGGAGGAGGAAGGGACGTTTTTAGAACAGAAAGATAAATTTGGTTGGATATAATAACGTTGCTAGTGTGAAGGCACTGAATTTCAAGAGTCAGATGAATCAGGAATTGGGGGAAAGGCATATAGAAAAGGAGATAAATGGACAGAAAAATACTTTTATTCTATCTTATTTTTCCCTCCATAAAATCTCTGTAGCAGGAACTGTTGTCATCTCATTGGTAGCACTGCTGCAAGTTAAGACTATCTTGGATTGCCTCCTACTCTAACTTTTTCTACGTTAGGTCATCGTTCCAGTACAGGGTAAAAGAAAGATCTAGAGAAGAGAGGAAGCTCTGCCCTTCCTTCGTACCTCTCCTTTCCACCACAGTATTTCTTTGTTCCATGGACATCTAAGGCATATGCTGCAGATGCTAGTAGGAAAACAGCTAATTTTTAAATATCCACAGTTGCTTTTCTTAAACTGGGAAGCTTAAATTATGTGAATGAAAATCGTTTTTGGAAAAACAAATAGAAGGGAATTTAGTTATGCTTTTATTTATTGTTTATTCATATTAATGTATATCATGGAAACCCAAAATTGGCAAACTTTAGCCATTAATTTTAGCTTGTTTCATCAAGCTATCAAAACTTAGGAGCAAAGTTATAAAATTATGTACTTTTTACTCCTATTTCAAGGGAATATACTTTAAATACAACAAGGCAAGAGGGAAGCATAAGATGCAGAAGAGACTAGGAATCTTCAAAATGAATTATTTGCTGTCTCTGAATAATAGAAGTGACTAGATGGCAAGTAGAAATAAATCAACTTAGTGGGAAAAAATGTTAAAGGAAAATATTTTTTAGCCCTGGTTAGTATAGCTCAGTGGATTGAGCATGAGCCTGCAAACCAAAGGGTCACCTGTTCAATTCCCAGTCAGGGCACATGTCTGGGTTGCAGGCCAGGTCCCCAGTAGGGGGCACATGAGAGGCAACCACACTTTGTTGTTTCTCTCCTTCACTTCCCATTCCCTTCCCTTCTGTCTAAAAATAAATAAATAAAATCTAAAAATATATATATTTTTTCAAAGAATCTTTATTGTATTTTTGAAGAAAATACAGTCTTAGTAAGTAGTATATTCAGTATATTTCAAGGAATTATAAGTTTAAAGGATTTGGGATTACCTTAATGTTGGCAGTTTTAATAATGTGGTATTTTTTCTTAGAAAGTCAGCCTTATCTGAAAATTTTTAAATGCCTTTAATCGGCTCTCATTAGGACTCGGGTGTTCATCTGTGTGTTATTGACGACTCCAACGAGCACATGCTTACCGTGTGGGATTGGCAGAAAAAGTCAAAAGCAGCAGAAATAAAGGTAAGTCAAAATTTTTTCAATTATTATCTTTTAGAATACATTATTTGTTTTTGCAGATTTTTAGAAGTATATTGCATATCCTCAATTTGCAAGAGCTTACCAACTGGCCAAATTCATCAGATTTACTGATTTCTCATCATTTTATGGTATTAAGAGCACCATTCTTATGGTATTCTTAAGATAAAATATGAGGGATATTTCGGATACATTGCATTTGCTACTGAAATGCAAAGTAGATGGATGCCTAATCTCAAAATTAATACCAAATACTACTTGACTATTGCTACTTTTTAAACAAAATGTGTTATTTCATTCAGTGTTTAAAGCTTTAAACATCTAAAGGAGAATTTCATTCATAGGAGTATGGATGACATAACTGAAAAACATGTGTAATGATAAGCTTTTTGGCCTTAATTATGTTTGTTGGATTATTAGAGCATACTTTATAGTAGCTATTGAATAGTGTTGATTCTTTGTGTGGATCAGGCTATAACTTGTAAAAGAGGGATGTAAGGTTAGCATTGCAACTGCATTCACATGGGTCAGAAATGGCCTCCCTCTGAGGCTTTCAAAGGGATTCAAAGTGACAGGATGACTAAAAAAAGCCTATGACATATTTGCTGTACTCTTAAATAACATCACATTCCTCTTTAGTTGCACGCCGCTCTCTCTCTGCCTCAGCAGTTTTGTTCTGTATAAGCTTCCAGCTTTCAGCTTATTGGTCCAAAAGAGGTTATGTTTTTCAAACAGTGTAAGTGAATCTTTTGAAAGAAATAGAGTAAATTTGATTGTACTGGAGAGGAATATAAGACATCAGGAAACCTCAGACTTTAAAAAATATAAAGAACTCGTGGACATAGACAACAGTGCGGTGATTGCCAGGGTGGGGTTTGTGGATGGAGGTGGAGGAGGGTACAGGGGGATAAAGGGTGAAGGACGGAGACTTGTCTTGGGGTGGTGAGCACCTGATACTGTGCACAGATGATGTATGGTGAAACTGTGCACTTGAAACCTATATAATTTTGTTAACCAGTGCTATCCCAATTGCTTCAGTAAAAAGTAAAATAAAAATATAAATGAAGATACAGGTAATCTTTCAGTCATCATTCAGAATAATTTAACATTGAAACATAGGGAAGTTACAGCAAAGTGCACTATGTGAATTTTGATCCTTTGTAATAAAGGTTACCAGATGAAGTCTTACGGTTTTCCCCCTACTGGCCATTCCTTGGTCTGCTTTCCAGGACCTTAAATGTTGGTGTTACTCAGAGTTATATCTTATGTCCTCCACTGATATCATATACTGCTACCGTGGCCTTAGTTACTATCTGCTGTGTCCCACGTCATTTACTTGCAGCTCACATCTCTCTCACAGATTTAAACCTACATTTCTTCCTGCCTGCCAGGCATCTTTATTTGAATGTCCTATCCCACAAGTCAATATCAACATAGCCAAATCTGTACTAATCATCTTTTTTAAAAAATATTTTATTGATTATGCTATTACAGTTGTCCCATTTTTTTCCTCCCCTTTATTCCCCTCCGCCCTGCACCCCCCTCCCACCAGCATCCCCCGCACCCCCTTAGTTCATGACCATGATTCAAACATATAAGTTCTTTGGCTACTCCATATCCTATACTATTCTTAACCTCCCCCTGTCTGTTATGTACCTACCATTTATGCTTCTTATTCTCTGTACCTTTTCCCCTACTCTCCCACCTCTCCTTCCCTGTTGATAACCCTCCATGTGATCTCCATTTCTGTGATTCTATTCCTTTTGTACTTGCTTAGCTTGTTTCTGTTTCTGTTGGGGGGTTTTTTTGTTTTTTGGTTTTTTTTAGGTCCAGTTGTTGATAGTTGTGAGTTTGTTGTCATTTTACTGTTCATATTTTTTATCTACTTTTCCTTAGATAAGTCCCTTTAACATTTCATATAATAAGGGCTTGGTGATGATGAACTCCTTTAACTTGACCTTATCTGGGAGGCACTTTATCTGCCCTTCCATTCTAAATGATAGCTTTGCTGGATAGAGTAATCTTGGATGTAGGTCCTTGCCTTTCATGACTTTGAATACTTCTTTTCAGCCCCTCCCTGGCCTGCAAGGTTTCTTTTGAGAGATCAGCTGATAGTCTTATGGGAACTCCTTTGTAGGTAACTGTCTCCTTTTCTCTGGCTGCTTTTAGGATTCTCACCTTATCTTTAATCTTGGGTAATGTAATTATGACATGCCTTGGTGTGTGCTTCCTTGGGTCCAACTTCTTTGGGACTCTGAGCTTCCTGGACTTCCTAGAAGTCTGTTTCCTTTGCCAGATTGGAGAAGTTCTCCATTATTTTTTCAAATAAGGTTTCAGTTTCTTGCTCTTCCTCTTCTCCTTCTAGCTAATCATCTTTCTCAGCTCCCAGCCAATTTCACTTGTCAGTGATTAATACCACATTCTATTTAGTTGTCCAAGATAGATATGACTCCTTGTCCCTTGCTTCTCATACCCAATCATGTAGCAAGTTCTCTAAACTCTATTCCAAATGTGTGTATTAGAACTGTCTCTGGTGCAGGTGACCTCAAAACAAGTAAAGCTATCCAAAAGAGAATTTATCAATTAATATTTAAGGAAGAAAAAAAAGCCCTCTAGTAAAGGTCATAGGGGGAATTTTGTCTTAGGAATCACTTGATTCAGGGGCTGGATCACTGATTCCCTGTCTCTTCTTTTAGCTTCTCCCTGTGTGTTGACCTTATTCTGTTCTGTAAATGAGCTCTGTCCTTGCTGAAGTCACAAGGGTTTGGGGAGTTGTGTTACATAACTTGTTAATTTATGTAAATTTAAAATTCAGTAAGGCAACTTCAAAACCTTATTGGCAGAAATTAAAGATGACCCAAATAAATGGAGAAATATACAATAAAAACAGATAGAAGACAGTATTATAAAGATGTTACTTTTTTACATACTGATCTATATTGTTCAACATAGTCAAAATCCCAGCAGTGATTTTTGTGGGTTCTGTGTGATTTCATTTACATAAAACATACAAAGCTCATCTATGGTCTTACAAATTAGGATCATGGTTACTTGAGCAGGGGGAGGGGATAGTGACTGGAAAAGGGATCTGAGGTGTTTCTGAGATATTAGTAATATTCTCTTTTTTGTTCTAGATGCTATACAGAGGTATGCCAATTTCTGAAAATTTATCAAGCTACATACTTAGGATTTGCAAACTTTTCTAGATAATATGCATCAATAAAAAGTTAAAATTTCATAGATCACTTCAGTTTGTATCTTGACTATCTTTTTCACTAGCATTATATGTTTGTATACTAGGAATATTTTTAGTTAATTTTATAATCTGATTAATCAGTTTATCATAAGATTCAACTGTCAAGGGGTTTTGATTTTCTTTAAGTGAAAACTAAGGACTGTTCAGGCTGGGTTTAAAAGGCAATATCATCCTGGAAGAGAGCTGATTAATTTTGCTTTGTTAATTAACACATTATCTTTAAATTTTACTTTACTTGCTGGGTACATATAGTTCTATTCCAAACATTGTGGAAAATTGTGTAACAAGAAGAGGTTATATAGGTTTTTTTTTTCCTTCATTCATAACTTGCAAGGGGAGAAAGCATTCAGATTAAATTGTTTAGGTCTCACTTATGTGTCTATACAAGGCTGTAGAGCCCAATTGTAAGTAGCAGAAAAGTAAAATTTGTGGACATATTGGAGCCATGGGGAATTGTTTTTAATTAGCTTAGTTTCTTCAAGTGTCATTTATTAGTATAAGAAGATGTTCAGTATTATATTTAACTCACTTTGTTTATAAGATTAGCATGTTTACCATGTTGGTTTGCAATGAAGAAATGCTTCCACACACATGAAGTTCTTCACTAAGTTAAAAGAACAATAAAGATTACCCTACAGGTGGACACCATCTACCAGTAAACAGCTTTACAAGCATATAGATTTCACCTTAATGTTAAGTAGGTGCTTTTACCATAAAACATCAATTTAGTAAGAATTGAATATGATTTACTAAACGTACTGAAATATAGTGCTTTTAATCATGTTCAATTCAGCAGTTTCTGTGAAAAAACTACTTGTAATTCCTTTAGACTCTCATGCCTATTTTCTTCCTTTTTTATTCTAGTTTTTTAAAAAATTTAACTCCTGACTTTTCTGAAGTTTTTGTTTTTGGGGGGTGTGTGTTTTTTTGTTTGTTTTTTTAGGAAATGGCATAAAAGCTCTTTGTATTTTATTTTTTATTTCTATGTGAATCAGTAGTGACCATTCTATAATTTTTACGTCTGAAGACAAATCTCTAAATCAGTAATATTTTTCTTAAATGAATGAGTGGTCAGTAATAATAGTACAAAGAAAGATAAGACTTTTTTTTTTTAATCAGAATGTCAGTGTCTTTAAGACAAATGTACAGCTTGCATTTGATAGTTTTCATGTACTTCCTCTAAACGCGTAAGAAACTGAAATACCCTAAAACTAATTCATATAAATGTCTTCTTAATGCAGTTATTATATATAAATAATATGAGATAACATAATAGTATAAACACATATTTAAATCATTATTATAAAAATTTATTTTTAAAGATGTTGAGGAAAATAGATCTTGGAAGAAAAGGCATTTCCTAAAAACATGTTCCTGGCTTTGATTATCAGTAGCTATAATTGGTACTTGATGGAGAAAAGAATATACATTCAACTAAGGCAGGAGTGTCAAGCTCATTTTCACCAGGGGCCACATCAGCCTTGAGGTTGGTTGCCTTCAAAGGGCCAAATGTAATTTTAGGACTGTATAAATGTAACTACTTCTTAACAGTTAAGCGAGAGCTTGGCACTGCCGCCAGGCAGAAACAAGGTGGAGGGCCAGATTGGGCCCTCGGTCCTTGTGTTTGCCACCTGTGATCTGAGGCTTCATTTCTCTTTCCACAGACAACAAATGAAGTTGTTTTGGCTGTGGAATTCCATCCAACAGATGCAAATACCATAATAACATGTGGTAAATCTCATATTTTTTTCTGGACCTGGAGTGGCAATTCACTAACAAGGAAACAGGGAATTTTTGGGGTAAGGATCAGAATGTTATAAATTCATTATGAAACTTGAATTTTTTAATTGATAAGTGAGCATGAAGTCATCATGCCGAAGGGAAAACTGAAAATTCTCATTGTTTCTTTGTAGAAATATGAAAAACCAAAATTTGTGCAGTGTTTAGCATTTTTGGGGAATGGAGATGTTCTAACTGGAGACTCTGGTGGAGTCTTACTTATATGGAGCAAAACTACTGTAGAACCGACACCTGGGAAAGGACCTAAAGGTACGGTACTCTGATATTAACGTCATTCCTTTTTAATGTGCACATGTGGCTATTGCAGTCCCATCTCGTACCCAGACCAGAAGAGAACTGCAGCAAAACCGTATGAGAACCACTAACATGCCTCATGTTTTCAAGGTTCTTCATGATGACCTTTCTTAAATTAAAATACTCATTTATTAAGCACATATCACCTAATACAAAACAATTAGAAAGAAATGATATAGATATATGTTAATTTAAATAGTATAAAGATTAAGAGACAAACCACTCTGGTCTTCTGAGTTCTGTGATGCCTTCACAGAGGAAATGGTATTTAAGATTAATCCATAAGAATGTACAAGATCACAAAAGATACGGAACTTTGATCCCAGTTGAGAAAAACAATGTATGCAAAAGTAGACAGATAGATTAGAATGTGAGGCATTCGGGGTAGCGTGAATAAATCTGTCATGTGAAAGCAGTAACAGAAAAAAGAGCCAAGTTGAATGAAATACGATTTTTAAAATAGTAGTGTTTTATAATGATTCTCAAGAGTTTAATATGCACTAAGCCATTGAAAATTCATGTAGGAATTAAAGATACAGGTTTTCTCAGTTATCCACAAGAATCTTTAAGACTGGTTGAGCTCACCGTGAAAGAGAGAAGAGCTTTGAGGCCAAGAATCTTCTGTCCCACGTTTAGATGACCAGAAAAGAACCTGCAAGGATTATAGAAGTGAGATACCAAAAAAAATTTAAGATAGTCCCACCAAATTTATAGGACCACCCGAACTGTTAACCAGAACTGTTCCATGTAAATGGCTGGTCTTGGCTCTGTTTCACAACTTCCTAAATCCTATCAAACAAGCAACAGCCAGCTACTCCCCCTCCACCTCATGGTAAGTGGCCCCAGGCCTGACACTAGAGACAGCCAGCCTAAATTCACAACTTGGCTTCCTTGGGAATCTCCAAGTCCAGCACAAGTACCAGCCAGCTCAGATGGTTGCTGTATGGGGGAAGAGTGTGGAGGAACAGGTGAAGAGGTGAGGGGATGAAGAAGTACAAATTGGTGGTCACAGAAAGCCATGGGAGGTAAAGTACAGTAGAGGAAATGGAGTAGCCACAGAATTTATATACATGACCCATGGACATGAACAGTGGTGGGAGGATGGCCTGAGCGGGAGTGGGGAGTGCTGGGTGGAAGGGGGCAAAAGGGAAAAAATTTAGACAACTGAAATTCCATAATCAATAAAGTATAATTTAAAAAAAAATAAAATACTTCTCTAGTTGGTCAAAGCCACTGCTCCAAGTACCAACTTTTGTCCCAGTGCCATTTCTTGTTCCTCATGTCTCGGCAAATAAATAGGGTAATCCTTGGGTTTGTGTTTCTGGAGTTTCTGCATCAGACCATGGAAATCACCACATGTGATCTACACTTTTACAAGGGAATCCTTACTCCTATGCTCAGAAGGGAAGACCCAATTTACATGTTTGACTTTCCTAGTAGATTTTCTCAGGACTAACACAATGTTGGGCATACGTTCTTAACTGTTGAAAATTATTTGTTAAACATTTCCTTGAGGAAATGACTTTAATCTTACTTTTGGGAGTCAATGTAGAAGTTGAGTGGTACTGATTGAAGCACTGTTTTCACTAAAATGTGGGATTTGAATATCATTGTAGGTGTTTTGTGATTGTAAATATTTTTTAAGTCTTTTTTCTTTAGATTTATATTTATTTATTTTTAGAGAGGTGGGGAGGGAGGGAGAAACATCAATATGTGGTTGCCTCGCATGTGCCCTGACTGGGAATTGAACCAACAACCTTTTGGTTCGCAGGCCAGCCAGCACTCAGTCTACTGAACCACACCAGCCAGTACAACTGTGAAGATTTTTATTGTGCATTTTTTAAGAGATACCATCATTGGTGTTTTCCATATCCATTCACCTGAATTTCTAAGTTTTGCAGTTGAGTTGAATTAGAAGTATTCAGAAGCTTTAAAAAATCCATAAATTGTATTACCAGTGACCCTGATCTCAGTATTGGCCGTGCATTCATAGTCTCTTTCATTTACTTTATGTTCAAAATTCACATATGACAAGGATGGCAGTGGGTTGAAGATTCTTTTTTTTTTTTTTTTAAGTTTATTGAATTAGTCTGAGTCACTTTTACAATACGAACTTTTTTTTAAAGATTTTTTTTATTTCATTTCATTTCATTTCATTTCATTTTTTAGAGAGGGAAGGGAGGGAGATACAGAGAAAGAGAAACATCAATGTGCGGTTGCTGGGGGCCATGGCCTGCAACCCAGGCATGTACACTGACTGGGAATCGAACCTGTGACACTTTGGTTCGTAGCCCACACTCAATCCACTGAGCTACGCCAGCCAGGGCGGGTTGAAGATTCTTAATAGAAAAGAAAGTTAGAACATCAGTATTCATCAACTACCTTTCCCACTTTCCAGAATCTGAAATGCCCAAAACATTGTATTTCAAAACCTTGACTTAAGTTGTTGACATGTTATCCTCTGATATAGATTATGGTTTGGGTTTACACGTACCCTTCATTAGCTTAATGTGTGTCAAGATGAGAGAGGTAGGGAAAGGTTCAGAGGTGATTTTTATTTCAGTTTTTGTCTGAAAAATTAGTGCAATGAAAATTTGCATATGCAAACACAGGAAATGGGAAATCTAATCTTATAAACTGTTGGGGACATGAAATGGCCTGTGTTGTGCTCTGCTGCAAAACTGACCCTATTATAGGCAAACTTGCTAAGAATGTTGTGTCTTCCTTTATATATTAGGGGTTTTCATTATGGCTGGGAAGGATTTGGTGCATACAGTGAAATAAATGTGTAAACCCAGATCACAGCAGAGTTCAGTGTTTGCACTTTAAAAATCTTGCCAAAAATTCAATAAGTTGATCCAGTTTGTATATTCCCTAGTAGGACATTTCTGTACCCAGTGCAGTCTTCTAACTAAAATTTGAGTGCACTGTGCTGTCATGTTCCGTAAGGGACATTTTTGCATGGCACAAGCATAATTCCATAGCTATTCCTTTTACTCTAGTATGAGAGACAAGGCAGAACTGTGTTCTGTGCCTCGTAAGCTCTCCTGTATAATTTCTTGCTTCCATAGCTTCAGTATATATTAACAGAAATCTTCACAAAGTAATTAGTATATCCTTTTTCTTTTTTCCCAGTTTCATTGATCTATAACACTGTATATTTAAGGTATACAACATAATGATTTGATATACACTGTAAAATGATTAACATATGTTAATATCCATCACCTCACATAGTTACAGTTTTTTTGTGTGTGATGAGAACTTTGAATACCTGTCCCCTTAGCAGCCTTCGCATAACATGATGCAGTGCTGTTAACTTTAGTCACCATGCTGTTCATTACATCTCAGAATTTACTTTTTATAACTGAAAGTTGATGCCTTTTGACCACTTTCACCCCTTCCCCCCACCCCAGCCCCTGGCAACCACTAATCTGTTCTGTTCCCTATGATTTTTCTCTTAGATTCCACAGGTAAGGGAGATCATACAGTATTTGTATTTCACTCTCATTTTACTTTAACATCATGTCCTCAAGGACATTCATGTTGTTGAAAATGGCGGAATTCCCTTTTTTATTCCATTGTGTGGGGGGCGGGTCTGCATTTTCTTTATTCATTTCTCTGTCAGTGGACACTTAGGTTGTTTCAGTATTTTTTTATTTCTTACAGGGTACAAGGTATTTGTTACTTCCTACATACATGAAATAGTTCAATTTTTCTTATATTAAATAATACATAATTTTTCAGTCGGGGATGGGAAGTTGATGGTATCTACTACACCATAAAAATGTTCATTATTCTTACATCTGAGTTCCTTTTAGGAACTAAGTAACACACCACCATTTTACCTACTCTCCAGATAATCAACATGGGCCCATTTGCTCAGTTGCTAAAAATACAACATAAATTTCAGTCTCCTTGGCATTTGATTCTATTGTTAGGCACAGAAAGCCTCCAAACATCTTCCTTTGGCAGTCCAGGTAAACTTGCTTTTTATGGAAGCTTCGTTCGGTTGGAGATGAGAGGAGAGGGGGAGTTGGCAGTGAAGCTCGTATAGACATGGCAGTGACTGCGCCTGGAGGTATGATAGGTTTCTAAGTTCAAGCATAATTATTTTTCTTGGCCTCTTTTTTAAACATTATTTGGCTTGAATTGACAAGTCAGAAATACAGGCTCCATGAAGCTTTTGTTCTTTAGTTATATTTTCTGTTTGGTAACATTCCATCATTCTAGGAAGATCTTAAGTGTTTAACAAGGTTTTTTGTCATGTTTAAAAGTATGGAAAGCTGAATTAAAAGTGGAAAACTGGATTTCATTTTCCTACCTTCTGATGCAGATCTGTGAACCTCCACACCTCTGCTTTTTGTAATTTTACATGGTACTTTATAAGACTACTCTTGTCAATTTAACCATGCATGAGAAAATACACCCCCTCCCCCTTAAACGCTCAAGTAAAGCCAACAGTACTCAGAAAATTCACGTCTCAGGTGCCCTTTCTCTCTTAGTCACACATTGTAGGTGACTGGCTAGCTGTCCTGCTGGACACAGTTACATTGTTCAGTGTTTAAAGTATTTCTAAGTGATAAATGTTGGTGCAAACTGAAGCAGTTGCCCTCAACAGCAAGTTTGTTGGGAGTTCTGCTTTCATTCTGCTAAATTGGGCAAGCTTTACTCCAAGTCAGCCAAGCCCTTTCTTTTCTCCCTACCAGACATACCCTCCATCTACTAAGTGTCTCTACTGCTAGCACCCTCACACTGAGTGATTTTCAGTCAGCTGTAGCTTTTTTTTTTTTAGGATACCAAAACCCTACATATTTTAGTTAATTTTTAAGGTATAATTGTCAGCTCAAATATTATAAAAAGATGATCAAAAGTGAACAATCTCAATAATAAATTCGTGGAGATATATAAAGAATTCCCCCTTTTAAAATATACAATTCAGTGATTTTTACTCTATCCACAGGGCTGTGCCACCATCACCACTGTTTAATTTCAGGACATTTAATCACCCTGAGAAGGCACACTGTGCCACTTCCCATTCCTCCTTCCCCTCAGCCCCTAACAGCCATCTGTCTACTTTTGCTCTCTGTGGATTTGCCTGTTTTGGACATTTCATATCAGTGGAGTCATATAATATGTGGTCTTTTGTGATGGGCTTCTTTCACTTGAACCTTAACATTTTCAAGGTTCATCCATGTTAATAGCATCTATCATACTTCATTCCTTTTCATGACTGAATAAAAAGTTCCACGGTGTGGACATGCCACATTTTGTTTATCCATTCATCAGTTGATGAACAGTTTTAGAAAATGAAACTTTGTAAAAGCGTTTCCCAGCTTTATTGAGATACAATTGATATGTAACATTGTATGAGTTTAAGGTATACAATATAATTATTTAACCACAAGTTTGGTTAATGTCCATCACCTCACAGTTAAAATTTTTTCTCCTGTGATGAGGACTGTGAAGATCTGCCATCAGTAACTTTCACATACACAACACAGCATTGTTCACTGCGGTCATCAGACTCCCCAAGCTCACTTCCCTTATCACTGGGAGCGTGTGTCTTTGGACCACCTTCATCCATTTCCCCCACTGAACAACTTTTAAACTTGCAATTTTATTTTTCTAAAAGATTTAGGCTCTACCTTCCCATTTTGAACTTGATAACTAATTCTTCAAGATAATTAGAATCCAAAAAGCTTTACTCTTGCTCTAGCAATCTTACCAGCCAGATAAAACTTCTCTGGGTAAGACATGATAAATAACAAAGAAAAGGGTTTATGTACTAAAATATTGTCTTCACCTTTAAGAAAGTGGATTTGATTATAGTTAGTGTATGTGTATGTGTGTGTTAATCTGCACATGGATTTAAAATATTTTTAATGTATGTGCTTTGTCCCTCCCTGGGTACTTGTAAAGCAGTATAAGTATATAAGAAAGCTGGCCTGTCATTCAGCCGTCACATTCATACGGTTCTTTAAATACTGAAATACTTCTCCAGTCTGTCAAAAGCCACTGTTCCAAGCCTCCAGTGCATTTCCCAGGCCCCTATATTGTAGCAAATAAAGGGGTAAGTCCTTGGCAGGGCAGGTAGTAGATCACCAGTGGTTGCTGATTGTTAAGTGTTATGGCTGTACCTCAGCAGGGAATGAAAGCTGTTTTGCAAACTTAAGGGAACATTGAGTGAAGAGACTTGAGCCCTACTCACAGCTTTGCCACTAGCGAACTCTGTGTGGTAGTGGTTAGGCCACTTCTGGTGGCTTCAGCTCTAAGCCACTCTGTCCTCAGCTCTAAAATCAGAAAAGTAAGACTACCCTAACTACTATAGAAGATGGTTATAAGAGATTGTAAAGTTCTAAGTATCTTCTGTTGTCTATGGAATTATTACTACTTTAGTTTATCCTTTTGTAATAATATATTTTGAAGTATTTTCAGAGTAACTGAATATTGACATAAATGCAAAAGATTGTATTAAGCTTCACTACCAGCCTTGCACAACTTGCTGAAATAGGATTTTGATTGTTGAGTCACAAGCACTTTAGATTTGCTCTATATAAATGGTCCCCAGCTTACTGTGGTTTGCCTGACAGCTTTTCAGCTTTACAGTGATGCAAAAACAACATGCCCTTCAATAGAAACTGGTAGGCTATGATGCTGGGTAGGTTAGGTATGTCAAATGCATTTTCAGCTTACAGTGGGCTTATTGGGATTGTAGCCACATCTTAGGTCAAGGAACATCTGTAGTTCTGCTCAATATTCCTTCCAGAAAGCCACTAAAGTTCTATGGAAATGTTATCACTGGTGTTTTGGTGTTTTCCTCTTCACCTTAGGTGTTTATCAGATCAGCAAACAGATCAAAGCTCATGATGGCAGTGTGTTCACACTTTGTCAGATGAGAAATGGGATGTTGTTAACTGGAGGAGGGAAGGACAGAAAAGTGCTTCTGTGGGATCATGATCTGAACTCTGAGAGAGAAATTGAGGTAAGGATGGAGAAATGAAAACTGTAAAATGTTAAACCCCCTGAACCAATGTTTTCTGGCTCACGTTAAGATAACTTCTCTGAGAAATTGGTGCCCATCCTTGACCTTTAATTTCCTCAAAAAGAAAAGAAAAAAGGGACCAAACATTAAACAAAATAGTTTAAAAAAATAAAAAGATTGAGCAGAATAACTAACTTGTTTATTTCTGGTATTATTTATTTACTTACTTATTTAGGACAAAAAGTTAATTTGTTGTTCTACTGGTTTACGTACTCACTGGTTGCTTCTTATACATGCCCTGACCACAGATCAAACCCGCAACCTTGGCGTATTGGGACAGCGCTCTAACCAATGACCTCCTGGCCAGGGCCTGACATGATTTTTGGGGGTAACCCCAAAATATAACCAGGGTATACAAAATGGCCAGTTTAGTTTTAAAATTTGAAAATAATTCAACAGTGGGCTTAATAATAATAGTTCATTTCTGTGTATGTGCCTGCTTCATGGCATGGACCCAAGTGCATCCATAAAACCTGGTGGTGGTGTGTGCTCAGTGAGAGTATGCCATCTCTATTGAGGTTTTAGGACATAAAGCAGTTAAGAACTGTATTCCAGATCAGTGATTCTCAAGGCAAGGGCAGATCTCAGAGTTCAGTATCACCTCTCTTTTGGTGACTTAAATTTCGAGCTTACACTCAGTGTTCCACACATAACATGTTTTCAAACAAAATCTCTAAAAAAGAGGATCCTAATAGTACTGCTTTTGAGTTTTATTTCTAAGATGGATAAGAATTGTTTTATTTTACCCTTGAGTTCATGCTATTTCTTCACAGATAATTCATACCCTCTAATCTAAAACTATACCATCTGGTTCATTCTCCCTTTACCATTTCTAACACAAATTTGGAAACTCTTAGAATTCAGTTCTTTGTACTTTTAGGAGTATTTTTAGATCCCACTTCATAAAGAAGAAAGAACTGCATTTTCAGAGTCATTCTTTGGGCTTGTTATATTGATATAACATTCACTGAGAGTGTACCACGTAGTGGATTAAATGAGATTGATCTCCCAAAGGAGTCAACACTTTACAATATATTGCTTTTTAGTTTACAAAGAAATCTCACATGCACTGCACTTATATTTTGATCCTTACAATAGCTATGAGTAGGTAGGGCTTGTACTCACTATCCCCATATTTCATGTAAAGAAATTTGTCTTAGGCTCAGTGACCTACCCAAAATGATATTACTAGTAAGTAACAAAACCAGACTTCATTCTTCATGTAATCCAATTTCTTGTCCTCCGCTCCTAACCTTGAAAGCTTAAAATCATATAAAATATAAATTAAAATGAACTGAAGCAAGGTCTGTTAATAACATTATAACTTCTGTGTAATAAAATGTAATTGAACAAGTTATTAGCATAAGATTACCATGTTACTTTGAAATTTGGAATTCTGTCCCTAATTGCTTTCAGCTGTAAATGTAGCCTTCAGGTAGTAATTAGTGCATGTTAGTATGTGTATGATGGTGACATTACAATTTTTTTTTTAGGTTCCTGATCAGTATGGAACAATCAGAGCTGTAGCAGAAGGAAAGGCAGATCAATTTTTAGTAGGCACATCACGAAACTTTATTTTACGGGGAACATTTAACGATGGCTTCCAAATAGAGGTCCAGGTAAACTGTGTGATTTTAACCATTAACTGAGTATTTTTTGCGATATTCTTTGTTTCGTATAACAATAGGTATATTTTATCTTCAGGGTCATACAGATGAGCTTTGGGGTCTTGCCACACATCCTTTCAAAGATTTGCTCTTGACATGTGCTCAGGATAGACAGGTGTGCATGTGGAACTCAGCAGAACACAGGCTGGAATGGACCAGGCTCGTGGATGTGAGTAAAGCAAAATGTGATTGTACCCTCCCCATGGAAACTCCCCAGGCTAGCAGTTGGGAGCAGCAAAAGAGAAAGGACTCAGCACTGGTTAAAACAAAGTGTTTAGTAAACAGGAGAGTGTTTGGTTACAAAGTATAACATGAACCCACCTGGAAGAAGCAAACTGGTGCAAAAGCTCAATGTTTCCATCAGTTTCCATAGATTTCGGGATATTTATGGAGCATTGTTACAGAAGTGTTTGGGCCTCTGGTGGTGTTGCAGTTGGACTCAGTAAGTGCTGCTCACTAACAGACTCTGTCTTCTTTTCGAGTTGGCCTCCTACTGTGTTTTCTCCCTACACCACTGAGATACCCACCTTTTATAGCCCAGAAGGTATAAACATATTCTCTGCAGACTAAAGAACTGTACAAATGTTTGTTGTTATCCTTATGATTGTCCCACTGCCTAGCCACAAGCTGGTTGTCCTTTCCCCTCACCACTCTGCCAGCATATCCTTTCCTGCTCTCAGATTCTTTTTCCTCTCATATCCACGTGGCTGTAAGGAAGTTCATTAGAATTCCATGTTTTTATGAAACAAGTTATTTTCAGATGCGTTTTTGCCACTATTCGCATAGATCTAGGGAGACTTTCTCATGTTCTCCCCAACAGCTGTCTGTCTCTCTTCTAGGAACCAGGACACTGTGCAGATTTTCATCCAAGTGGCACAGTGGTGGCCATAGGAACGCACTCAGGCAGGTAGGGTCTCCAAGGGAAATGTGAGTTGAGTGATTTGAAGTGGTGGGATGTTAATCATTGTGTAGGAATGTCGTCAATCTGATCTGGGAAATTAATCTTTTAAATGTCATACTAATACGCTTGTTGCTCTTACCTGTTACATTTACTCATTCAGTCATCAGTAATTATTTATTGAGCTCTTTCTTAGACACTATTGTAGGTGTTTAGGCTGCATCAGAGTGCAAAACAAAAATTTCTACCCTTGTGCAGCCCACATTATAGTGTATGTTAGGGATAGAGGCAGAATAAAAATAAACATTATAACTAAATTAGAAAATGTTAAGAGCTGTGGTGGGGAAGGATTGAACATGAAGTTGTTTATGCTATACTTTTGTCATCCTGTCTTTATGAATGCTACACGGGTAGATAATGAAGGTATATTTCCTGAATTGTTATTAATTACTTGTCTTTGCAGACCTTATATAGTACCTTTCCAAGGTTATTAAGTAATATATATATATTTATGATCTGTATACTTTTTAGTCATTTATATTGCCTCTGCTAATAAACTCTCATCACAAATAATTTCTTTTTTAAAGAGTCAGGAAAAATATGAAGTCAATTTCCAAAAGTTAGACCCATAGAAACTGTGGAATGCCGATTCTTAATGAGGTGAAACTATTGTGAACACACTCATATTTTTGTTTATATGACAAATATTTCAAATCAGCCAGTTTATTTGACTAATTAAATTTAGTCATTTAGAGGTTTTGTTTCTTTTCTCACTTTTTTTTTTGAAGCAACTCCCCCCCCCCCTTGGCTTTGGATACAAATTAACACCTTTGGAAAGTCAAAACATTAAAATTCCTTCTTAGAAACAGTGCTGTAGTCTTTCAGAATCATGGAAGAACAGGTCATTAAAGTAAAGATAAAACTTTGAAATGTGGGTAGTATGTAATTAGATATGCTATTTCAGTGGTTCTGAAATAATTGAATTATAGAATTAGGCTGCTTGGGGAGTAATTGGTGATAGCTTGCAAATGCAGATGGCTCTCCTATCTCAGGTTTCTCCAATTACATGTCTATACTAGATTATTACTTAGACTTGGACTAAATAGGTATGTGTAAGGTCACTTTGTAGGAAATTATCTTCTATTATACTCAAAAAATTAGTCGAGCATATGAGAAACTATTATACTCAAAAAATTAGTCGAGCATGTGAGAAACAGCCTGAACTATTGTATTGAACTAGTTTTCAGAAAACCCATGAAGGAGTTCCCTTCAGATCTATTTTTTGAGCAGCTGAACAGACATCCCAAATGCTAAACTCAGTGAAATAATAAAAGTAAGAATTGCTTACCATTTATCTAGTATCTGATGACAGACCTTGTACTGAATTTTTTATATATTACTTTAAATCTTCACAAGAGGACAACAATATTTATTTGTTTCTCCATTGCACAAACAGAAAACCAAGACCCACAAAGTTTCAAGTCACTTGTAACTGAGTTTGGATTTGAACTCAGGTTCTCTATGATTCCAAAGCTTGTCTCTTTCCACTATTCCACCAATACTCTTTGAGATGTGCTTAAGGTGGTTTTAGCATACTTAGAAATATTGTAAGAAATGTTTATCTCTGAAGGTTAAGTCACTGGCTGACATTTTAAAAGCATTTACCATATATATGAAGGAGTTACACGTTGAATGGAGTGTAAGGGCTAGAGGGATTTGAATCATTAAGACACACCAGTTGGCCCTGGCTGATGTGGCTCAGTAGATTGAGTGCCAGACTGCGAAGCAAAGGGTCACCGGTTCAATTCCCAGTGAGGGCACATGCCTGGGTTGCGGGTCAGGTCCCTAGTGGGTAGTGTGCAAGAGGCAACTACACACTGATGTTTCTCTTCCTCTCTTTCTCCCTCCCTTCCCCTCTGTCTAAAAATAAATAAAGTCTTTAAAAAAAAGATACACCACTTGATTAGGGGTGTGTGTGTGTGTACAATATATACCATATGTACAGAGCCCTTGATTTTAAGGAAAAACTGATCGGGTTTAAACTCACAGAAACTACTTTCTAACATTTGTGTAGCTGTCAAGTCATTATTAACAAGCTTAAAATGAAGTTGCTTAATTTAAGTGCCTTAAAGCAATGTTAAACCAGGAATTGTCAGTAGAAGACATCTTATCAGTGAGAGCGATTGACAGCTAAATAAAAAGTGCTGGTGGTCAGTCCTGTCTGGTGTGGAGATGGGGATTATTTAGCATCTGGAGGACATGTAGTTATTGTAGTTCATTGTATGCATAGATCCTGTGTTCATTTTCACATCTGGTCAGATTCTGTTGATTCTTGGAGAACTTTCTCATTTATTTTCATTTTTTACACTGGTCTGTGAATACCTGGCTATTATGTTTAAAACTGAAATTTCCTCAGTTTAGCCATTCAGATTATTACCACTAACCTGAAGCCTGGGGGAAAAAAGTGACATTTAGGGCAAAGGAAAAAAAATTTTAAGTATAAAGAAAGCAACACACATCCAGTTGTGCATGATCCAGAAAAAGAGAATAGCTTTTTCCCTCTGTAATTTGAAGCTTCTTAACTTGGTCCATGGGTACTCCTGAGCTCATTTCCCAGAGTGTACAGTGTCTTTAAACTCTGTCGGCATGAATTCTTCTCAGTTCTGCCTTATTGCAACTCCATTTCTGAGTCCCTCTTCAGATGCTTGTCAAGCTCCTGCAACTTGTAATGCACTAATCTGGGTGCATCAGGTGGCACCGAGAAATAAAAGGAGACACGGTCCCTGCCCCAAGTAGATTATGTGTGTACATAAAAAGATAAGGGTGCATTAGTAGTTCAGTATTACTTGATTGAATAAACAGACACCAGTGCTGGGAGACCCACGGAGAAATTCCCGTGAGCCTGAGTTGTCAGAGAACGCTGCACACAGGAGCGGGGACCAGTCTTGCCTTGATGGCACTCTTGCATCTGGAAGAGGCAGTGAAGAGTGAAGAGCTCGCATCAAGCAAGAGGAATGAACTGAGCAAATTCAGGAAACTGAATTCAGGACAAAAACATTTTTGAAGTCTTCTTGACACCCCAACAGTAGAATCCAAAAATCCTGACCTTTAAAACCCATTAAAGATTTTAAAAATCTTTCCCTCATCACTTCAGCCAGAATGGTCAAATTGTTGTCATTTATATACACTCCAGCCCTTTTGTACTTTTTATCTACTCCTCTCTACCTGAAAATTGACGTCCCACCTATCCTTGCCACATTTGATGTGATGAGAGTGTTTCTCTATCTCATTGTTCTTAGGTGCATCTGTTTAATCTGAGTCGGAATATTTTGTTCCCTTAATCTGAAAGGGCAGTTCACTTGACCTCAGCTTTGGCATTGCATGGCTTAGAAGAGCATCACAGTGGTAACCATAAAAGTTGATTAACAAAAGAACGTTCTCAGAAGAAATCTGATCTATGGCTACTGTCCAGTTGCAATAAAGTGTGTTTCTTACATACCTTTTGAAATGGAAATGTTCAGTGAACACACAGCATAGGTTTCAAAGTGCCAGTTTTCTGGTTTTAAATCAAGTATTCACAAATAGAAGCTATTTCTGTTACCTGGATAGAAGACAGAATTTATGAATTAGGTTAGCTACCTAGAGGTTTCAACTCAGTTCACAAGTTACTAATTTTCATTCACAAATGTGTTTAGAGAGGGATTTCATTGATAGGTAACAGTTGAGATCTTTTAGTCTTTCATCTCCTACCTTGAATATACTGGCATATGAAATAACATCACTAAACATGTTTTTTTTTTTTTCCCTTGAAAGCACTTTCCTCTCCTGAACAGTATTTCATTTAATCTGAAAAAGAAATTGTCCCTTTCCAGAGATTAGTTATATAATTAGCTTCAAAATTAAAAAGAACTGTCATTATGATTTCTGTTACTGGCATAATAAATGCAGATTTGCAGTGTTTTTATTTTACTGGCGGAATTTCCCCATGTGAATAATTAAAAACAAAACTTGCTGCTCTTGTCCTATCCTGTCCTGTGAGATTAAGGTAGTGATTTTATTTTTTTAGTCTTGTTCCATTTTCTCCACCCTAACCATTTCTTCCAGCACACTGCACTACCACCAAGTAATTCTTGCTAAAACTTGGGTTTTGTCATATTCGAGACTTACTTTATATTTAGTTCATTTATTCATTTTACAAATATTTTTTAGTGCCTGATCTGAGCCAGGCAGCTCCCCGACCTGCACTCCTACAACCAGCTCCGCATACTGCCTGTAACCTGCCTCCTCTCCCTCATGCAGTCTTTAGTCCCCCTCTCACCACGCTCTTCTGAGACCTCATGCATTCCTTCTAGTGTTCTCGGAAACAGGTCTGATGAGAGTCACGTATTATGTAGCTGAATTTAAGTCATCGGTTTACCTCTCAAGAGGCTTTTATACTTTGACTTTTCCTATAAGTGTGAATGAAAAATTGTCTCAAATTTAGTTTCCATGTGCAAATGTTGGAAATATTAGAGAGGCAGAGTGCCCCCTGCTGGTTACAAATGAATGGCCCTCTGCTTTTCTCTTCGAACTTAACTGTGCATGCTCCCTCCCACCTCCATAGCTATGCAGCTTTCGCTCCTCCTGCCTGAACTGCTGTACTTCTTCCCCTCTGAGTTCAGCTCAACCCACGTCCTACATCTGATGCTCCCTAAAGGTTTTTCTTTGTCTGCTACCATTCATTTTCCTAACGAGAGTTCCTCTACTATACAAGGTGGGGCAAAAGTAAGTTTACATTTATATGCAAAACACAGAATTTATTCTTGTATAATTATTTATTAATTATTGTATTTTCCATACGAACAAATGTAAACCTACTTTTGTCCCACATGTACATAGTCACCATTACTAAGATTGGTACTTAAATATTGATACATAATATCAGGTACATAGGTTCACGGTCATGACTAGCTGCACATTTGTATGTGACTGATGTCAAGCCATAACGTTTAAGCCATAGGTATGGTCCCCTCAACAAGCAGAAAAAGAAACAGGTGTTAAGTGCTGTGCATCCCAAAAGAGTCGCTACCAGAATAACTCTGCCAGTGCTGTGAAGAGTGTGTGCGCCTTGGGCACAGCAGCATCATGTGCGATGGTGGTTACCAACGTTTTGCAGAGCCGAGTAAACTTTTGGGGGAGAGGGGTGTTGTATTTTTTAGTGATACCCATGTTTCCATTATGTGAAATGAAAATATTTATTCTTTATGTTTTTATATTTCTTTGTTTAATAATTTCTAGATGGTAACAAAATAAGTTAAAAATCATGTATTATATAAATGTAATACAGATTTGCAATGTTGTTATTTTCTTATTTTTTTGCATTTCAGCACATACTAGTAATAAATGCATCTCTCAGATACATGCGACCTATGCTGTAATTTTCTTGACCACGACCTCCACAAGATTATTTTGTTTTAATAGGCTCATCTGCATTTTCCCAACTCTAGTATAATCTTCAAGAACACTGATCCTGCCATCTTATTCTTTTTAAACTGTGCCTAGGCAAAGGCACCCTGTAGGCATTCAGTGAATACCTAAATAGAAATTAAGAACATGCCTGGCCCATATAGGTATTTTACACTGTATCTAGCAGCATTTTGCAAAATGAATTCATCCTTCATTAGAAGAGGGAAACATGTCATACTTAAGGGCATTAATAAAATTTCTTAATTTTTAAAAATTAAAAAGAAAAGATCAGCAACCATTTTTTCCCCATAAGTGCTAGTATCTGAACATTTTTTCATTTTTACTTCTCAACAGGTGGTTTGTTCTGGATGCAGAAACCAGAGATCTTGTCTCTATCCACACAGACGGGAATGAACAGCTCTCTGTGATGCGCTACTCAGTAGGTGGGTAGACTTGCCCCCACCCTGGCACTCACAGCATTTCTCTGAAACTGCGTGTTTCCACTTCCAGTAAAGTCATCGTCTTTTTTCTCTAATCTCTAGAGTTGTTAAGTCTTAAGTATGTTATCTCCAATGTCAGATTAAATTCTGCTGCAGGAAACTGCAAAAGATCTTCTAAAGTTAAATAACATTGCACATCACTAAGCAAACATAAATTTATGGCAAACACCAATATGTGCAGTTGAAAGCAGACAACAGGGCACAAACTCCCTCTTTTTTTTTTGAAATATACATACTTAGAATATGAATAGGTGCTAGGCTGAATGTTACATCTGTTTAGCAACCTTTTCTTTGTATATAGAGAATATAAAAGAAATTATAGTAATATTAAAATTACACAGATTTTACAGGCCCTTCAAGTTCTTTAAAATTGGGTTGCATTGTTACCAGTTACATAGTGATTGTTTTGTTGATTAAAATGCTCAGCAGCTCATAAGGATTTGATACATTTGTTTAGCTTTGAATAATTCTTTGTACTTCATTCAAAACGTTAAGTTTCCATAGTATTCTATTTCCTTGTCCCCTTATTATGGTTTTGATTCATATCATTCTCCCCTTGGAATTATAGTGACATTCACCTATGTTCAAAAATATATTCCAGTAGTTGTTGGATCAGTGTGGGTCCCAAGGGATCCTTTTGGTTGCTTCTAAGTTGTTTGAAGGGAAGCACTGAATACTATTCTCTGAGTTAAAGAAGGAAGGAAAGGTATTTGCTGCAGTCTATAAGTGGCAAGACTTGAAGCAGCAAAGGTTCTCTTGTTTGGATTGGCTTATTTTCAGCACCGTAGTAACAGGTAACTAAAACCCAAGGATCAGTTGGACTTCACCGACCATCTGCTACATATCAAGTACAGGAGAGGAGACCATAGAGAAGAGAATGTGGTCCCTTCCGAGAAGACAGCCCTGCATATGGAGAGGTGGGCTCAGCTGAAACGAGCAGTGGTGCACTCAGCTTGCAGTAACAGCACTGTGACCTAGACCCAGACCCATCAAAGCAGGTTCACTTCCCCGGGGCCAGATTGTAGCTAACCAGAAGGACACGAGGCTGGAACGTGTGGAGTCCAAAGCCTGGGAGCGTCTCCAGGAAGGGATGATGTACTGGACTAGTGACCGTTTGTTTTCCAAGTGTGCTTAGTGATGGAAGGATTAGTTCATCAAATGACAGTTAAACTGATAGTAAAACAACAGTAAATAAATCTATCAGTGTATTTCTCTAGTCAACACTTTTTCCTGCTTCATTCTAGATGGCACCTTCCTGGCTGTAGGATCTCATGACAACTTTATTTACCTCTACGTAGTCTCGGAAAATGGAAGAAAATATAGCAGATATGGAAAGTGCACTGTAAGTAATGAAGTAAAATTAAGTTGTGAAACTGTTGGAAATTTAATTTGTTAAAAAGAGAGTTAAATGTTTACATTGATGTATCTGTTCCTCAGCTGCTTTAAAACTTTCGCCTTTCTCTCTGAAAACTGAGATTACCCAACAGCAGAACATGCAGTCCCCTGCATGCCATGGGAGGCTTTCTCCTTTGACGAGAGTTTAATACTTGTCTGTCTCTGACTGACTTTAGGCTGGTTTCCTAAGCGATTGCCATCAGAACCCCTTAGACTGACACGTTTTGCAAATGGAATGAGTCAGAATGGAATGAAAGGGCAACTCACTTTTAATCCTAATGTCCCCTGTTCCTGCCCACCCTGATACCCTGCAATTTCTTGTGTCACCTGTCTGCCACTAAAATAATTTATATAGATACATGTCTAAATTCAGAGAATTAACAAATATTTTCTCTAATTTGTGCCCATTTCAGATTGACTAGGTTATCACTTTAAAGTGAACATTAGATTCAGTTCTGGAGATAACACTGGTACTTCCCATATGGCAGGTACTCTGCTAACTAGAGCTGTGTTCTGGGCCCTGTGACACCCTCCTCAAGCACACCACTGATTGGCCAGCCGCCTTCCACCAGCGCAGGCACCTCCGTGTGCTTGGGTGCCTGCCATCTTCCCATTTGACGTCTCCACAGAAAGTGGTGCCATGAATGGGGACAAGCTCCAGCTGTTTGGTTGCAGCTTAATTATTAGAGGGACATCTTGTAAAGTGTTGAATGCGCTTCTGCAGCTACCATGGACTGGAAGATAATGGAAGTAAAACAGAAAACCGTATTTGTACTTGGAACTCTTAAGAGAAGTTCCAGCAGCCACGTTTTAACAAAGACCTAATCTCTAAATAGCACTATGGCAATCACAAATTCCACAGAAAAGTGTAAATCTCTTTATCTAAAAAAGCAGTCCACATAAGACAGTAGAGCACAGCTCAGTATTTTCTGCTTACAAATGGTGCTCACATGTCCCTGCCTCAAAAGGTGTATATGAAGAAGAGTGAGTGAACATGGTCTTTCTGCTGAGACTGTGCTGTTATGTGGCAAATGATTCCTTCTCACAAACACCTCAGGTGTGTTTACTGTATAGGACCGGTCCTGGCCCATCTCTTGAAGGAGGCCCAGTGATCTTCCAAGAAAAAAGTTGCTCTTCATGAGCCTGACTTCTTGGGGCCAGCTGAGGAATGGAGGGGAAGAGAAGTGCATGGAGTTATCCCTACGTACTGTTGGTCCACAGCAGCCTTTCCCGTCCCCTCCTGTGGCCTGTCTGTGTCCTCACACTCCCGCGTGTGCCCCGAGGGCATGCTGTCCCCGCTGCCTTTGGGTTCTCCAGGTCTCCCTCCAGCACACACTTCAGACCTCCTTGGCCTCAGCGGTGGCAGTTTCTTCCTCTTTTTGGATCATACGATTTAGAAGGACCTTTTTTATTTTTTACTTCCCATGAGAGCTTCCATCTTAGTGTTCAGTAAATATTTGTAAAAGTGGTTTGCCTAAATGACAGGATTCGTGGGTTCATGTTTGTATCATATTCTCTGTGTAAGCAGTTTGATTTTGTAGCTGCTGCTACAGAAAACATTTTAAGGCTTTGAATTCAGAAGCTCTTTTTGTCTCCTACAAACCTAGGGTTGGGGTCGAGGCTGGGGGTGGTGCTGGCATGGATCTGATTTTATTTCCTTTACATATTGGACTTCTCAAGTGACATTTAATATGACAGAAGGATTGTATAGCTAAAAGGAGTTTAAAGACTGCTGGTTGGTTTTCTTAAAGATTCCTGAGTTGTGCGGATTTTTAGTGTTGTGAAGTTCTTAACCTTCTCCTTTCCTGTACTGTTTTGAAAATGTACTGAAAAGGTCTAATACAACAAACGCAGTATTGGCTGACTATTAAACCATTTATACAAAACTCTAAATGCTTTCTAATAGTTGATCCTTCTGTTGTTTCCTAGGGACATTCCAGCTATATCACACACCTTGACTGGTCCCCAGACAACAAGTACATAATGTCTAACTCGGGAGACTACGAAATACTGTACTGTAAGTATGAATGACCACACATGGCTGAGATGTGTCTGCCAGGGGCACCAATAAGCAGGCTGTGTGGAGTCTGAATTGTGCGGGGCACCATGTCGGCCTCTCTGACCTGACAAAGTGTGTTACTCTGAGCTAAGGCATGAGAATCTCAAACCTGCTTCACTTCTCCAAGAAAGTAATGAGTTAATTTTTAAATGTGTAGACCTGTAGTCATAAGAAATTAACTCAGAGATTGATACTGCTGTGAATGGTTTTGTATTCAACAGCTTTTCCTGGAGGCAGGAAAAAGTATAATGGATGGGCATTTATGCTTCTTAAAGAAAATAGAACCACTTCAGTGGGTAGTTCCATAAACCCTGTTAAGTAAACACTTTTCCTTTTTAAATGTGCATTAATGTTTTTCAGTGTATGGATTATAAATACAAGTAAACGTGGCTAGTTTGAATCAAGATGCACATTCAGTACATTTATACACAAGCACTATGATTATACTTCCTGTTTCTAAATTTAAAGGGGACATTCCAAGTGGCTGCAAACTAATCAGGAATCGATCGGAGTGTAAGGACATTGACTGGACAACATACACCTGTGTACTGGGCTTTCAAGTCTTTGGTAAGGACATGAACACCCAATGGGAAAATGTTGTTTGTGGGTTTTTATATATAATAATTACTTGCTTCCATTCCTTAATGACATAGTCTCTATGTGTTCTTTAGTGTTATTACTGTTAATGCCAGATTCAGAGAAATTAAACCCCAGTATGAGGTTTGTTCTCTGTAGAGTCCACTCTTTTGATCCCCAATAAACATGAAAGACAAAAGGTACTTACACAATAGCAGATTGCCTTTTCATTTTTTCCTCAAAGTAAAATTGGAACTTTAAAATTTGTAAAGACATTTTAAAAACAGCTTTGAGATACCATTCACATACCATTTAATTCACCTCAAGTGCATGGTTCAGTGGTGTGAGTATATTCAGAGCTGTGCTTCCGTCATCAATTTTAGAGCATTTTCATCCCCCCACCAAGAAACCCCTCACCCATCCGCAATCACCCTCACCTCCGCCCCCAGCAACCACCACGGTCTCCTTTCTTCCTCCAATGACTGGTCTGTTCTGGATAGTTCATATAAATGGGACGGTGTAGCATGTGGCCCACTGAGGCTGGCATCTTTCATTTAGCATGTTTTCAAGGTTCATCCATGTGGTAGCATGGATCAGGACTTCATTTTACGGCTACATAATATCCCAATATATAGATACACCACATTTTGTCTTTCCATTCAGCAGCTAATGGACACTTGAGTTGTTTCCACTGTTTAGCTTTTATAAATAATGCTGCTGTAAACGTGTAAGCATGTTTTCATTTCTCTTGGGTGAATACCTGGAAGTGGAATATTCGCAAGGCCAAATGGCAACTCTGTTTAACCTTTTGAGGAACTGCCAGACTGTTTCCCAAAGCAGCCGCACCATGTACATCCCTACCAGCAGTGTAGGAGGGTTTGGTTTCCCCACATTCTCGTCAGCAGCTTTTATTGTTAGTCTTCTGCATGCAACCGTCCAGTTGTCCCAGCACCATTTGCTGAAATGGTGCTGAAATATAAAGGCATTTTTAATAGACATTATTGAAAGATAAAATTGGGAAATCATTCCTATTCTGATGTTTTCAGCATTTCTATGAAATCTGCCTTTGGTGACAGTTTTCTAAGTCTTTCCTAATCTAATCTGTAGGTATCCTTCTGAAAAAGTTAGAGGATAAATGGAAAAGTTAAAATAATAAAGCCCTGTTTGCCAAGAATTAGAAAGAGATGTTATACTCACTCAGTAGACTCATTATAAGAGCATGTGGCACCGATACCTAAAGCAGTACTTGTCCTTGACCATTATACCTGTTCCCTGCACGAACTGGGCTGCACCTCCAGCCCAGGTATAGATCGGAACATTTCTTTATGCTGTGCACGTTAGAAAAATAACCCACTGTAGGACTTATTCTAAACACAACGGCTATACAGATGGAGAAGCCTAGCCTAGGCTCCTGGGCTAGGAAGAAATTAAAAACAAAAGAACCCTGACTAATCCATAAACAGTTTCATTATTCTGGGTGAAACTGAAGCAGTGGCCATAGCTGATAACTTATCTAGTTATTTTAATGAAGCAACATACAGTATTCATTATTGAGATGTCATTTCAGAAGGGTCTCGATTTGTTCTAGTATATTTACCAAACACACATTTGTTCCCTAGAATAGCATTGAGCAGCTGGAGGCCAGCATCCCAACCCTTACATATTCCATAGTTGTAATCTAGTCTAATAGAATTTTGTGCTATGTTAAACATAATCACCAGTGCCTCAAAATGATTCGGAATAATTAAATTTGCTATTATTTACATCTTATCTTTGGATGTAAGTAATAGTTAAAAGAAAATTCTATGTGGTAACAAGTAGATGAGGTTTTCTTTGAAGTACCTGTCTGAAAGGGAGCAGTGAAAGTATGAAATTTTACACAGCGTCCCCAGTGTGAAGAGTTAGTGCTGTGGCTTTATACAGGTGACTGAGAACTTCCCCTCTAACTAGAAATTTGAAAACAGAAAACACTGCTCAGGTGTTAACGCTTAAAACTAGAATTACTTTAGCACCACCTGCTGGTTACTAGTGAGTACTTTTGGGTCATTAAACTTGCCATCTTGAGACTATTTTGATTTATAATTTTATTATTAGACTTCGGCTAAGATTTCATTTGAATAAAATGTTGGACCACTAAGAAATTTGGAAGGGAAAATGTTATCAGTTAAGAGTTTGAACACAGATGAAAATAAGATTCTAAAATTCAGTGAACCTGTGTAGCATCGCAGTTACATTTTTCAGGCTAATCTTCTGCACCTGTGTTCCCATGTCAAAGGTGTCTGGCCAGAAGGATCTGACGGGACAGATATCAACGCACTGGTGCGATCCCACAACAGGAAGGTGATAGCTGTTGCTGATGACTTTTGCAAAGTCCATCTGTTTCAGTATCCCTGCTCCAAAGCAAAGGTAAACTCAATGTAATAAAAATTAGCATTGCCGGGCATTTTGTTTGGGGATCATTTTGTGTCAGTGGCACAAAAATGTGTAAGTGACTGATTACTGTCCTCGAGAACTGCAGTGCCCAGGGTGAACGGGGCCATCTCTAGGCATCCAAGCAGCCACTGCTTGTCTTCTTCCTCAGCAAGGGCAAGGAGAAGATGATTCTACAAGGCAGCTGGTGGTGTTTTATTCATTTTTACTTATTTATTTTTATTTTCTGGCAGCTTCAAATTTCTCCTAAACATATTAAAATATTCTGTTACACATACGATCAGCATTATAAAACTCATGAAACTGTTTCCTAAATCACCCATAATCCTGCCAACCTAGTAAATTCTTCCCTGGCATCCCAACAGAATAATTACTAAGTGCACCAACCTAATATCCAGAAGAAATGGACTTTTTTTAACTCATGTTTTTACTAATTTTAGAGAGTGGGGGAGGGGTTTCGAGAAAGAGACAGAAACATCAGTTTGTTGTTCCACTTATTTATGCTCTCATTGGTTGCTTCTTGATTGTGCTCTGAGCAGGGATCAAACCCACAGCCTTGGCAGATCAGGATGATGCTCTAACCAAGCGAGCTACCCAACCAGGGCCTTTTTTTTTAAAAAAAAAACATATAGTCTGAAGTATAGATGTCCAATTATTATGTTTTGTTTCTCCCATATAAATAGGTATTAAAAGGAAATTGCTGCTAATTTTATTGATGACTTGTGGCTTTGATTTGCATTACCTGAAAGCAGGCATGTAAATAATGAGTTTCATTTTCCTGTCTGACTTATTTCACATAGGCTCCCAGTCACAAGTACAGTGCCCACAGCAGTCATGTCACCAATGTCAGTTTTACTCATAATGACAGTCACCTGATTTCAACTGGTGGAAAAGACATGAGCATCATTCAGTGGAAACTTGTGGAAAAGTTGTCTTTGCCTCAAAATGAGATTGTAGCGGATACTGCTCCAACCAAAGGCCCCATCTCTTCCATTGAGTGCGTCAGGCAGTCTGACACGTCCACACCGCCTCCTCCCCAGCCCTTAAATGAGACAGCTGAAGAGGGTAGAAGGAGCAGTTCTCCCACACTCCTGGAGAACAGCCTGGAACACACTGTGGAGCCCAGCGAAGACCCCAGTGAGGAGCGGAGTGAAGCGGGCAGCGAAGACCTTGGTGGGCCTGCTGGTGAAGAGCTATCCAACGAGATGAGTGAGGAGCAGGGTGACGCTGCTCTTACTGGGGACCACCAAGACCCTCCACCTCTATCCTAACCAACACCAGGGCTTGAATGCTCGTGATCTTGAGCTAGAGTTCAGATAACAGGCCGGGAAGTGATGGAGAATCACTGTTGACCGAGATTTTGGTTTCCGTGTGATCTGTTTTCTTCAGTAGTCTTATCTTCAGTCAGTCGAATGCAGCCAGCTGAAAGGTTCAGTTTGGTGTCTGTTGAAGATTAACCAAACTTAATAGAAGGAAAGACCGAAACATCAATTATGTCTCAGAAAGGACTGTGTATGTAAGTGATAAGATGTAAATACTGGAAGCAGAAACAGCAGCTATGTTGATTTAAAACAAACTCCTTGGTATCTGAACGTGTTTTCTTCAGGAACAACCAGAGGCATCACAAACACTGTTACTCAGCTACTGGCTCAGACTGTGCTACTTCTTTCCTGATGCAGAAAAAGAAATCAAAAGGAAAAAAAATGCTTTCTTATTGCGATATCTTCCTACCCTAAATATATCTAGAGGAAATTTTTTAGTTAAGAAGAACTCCAGTATTGCCACAGGCAGTGGTATTGCCTTCTTAAATAATAATGCCATTTCCTACACTACCAGTAGATGCCCAGGTGCGCTTGTTAGTCTACTATATAGGTGCTGCCTTTTCTAAGACTCATAATAAGGAACAGTCTCTTAATTTCTTGTGTGCAAATCTATTTTATCGTAGAACTAAGAGAGCAGTGGTTTGTTAGAGAGCTTTTAAATGTATATTAAACCATTGATACTCAGAAATAATGGAGTCCCCAAGGATTCCTTTACTGGCCTGAACATTCTTAAATGTTTGACATTCAAGGAAAAAAGCCGCATGCCTATAAAACTAAACTGTAATAATTACTAAGCTAATTTTAGCTCAGCCTTCAACATAATTTGTTCCCTCAATAATAGGAGAAATACAAATACAGAATTGGTGCTTTGAAGTTCATTGGCTTAGTTGTTAATTTTTATACAGATTAATTACGTTGAGGGATAAGATACTCAGCAAACTGCAAATTCTTTTTTACAGAAGTGTGAATAACAGTCATAGTGATTAAAATCTGTATACATCGCGTACTTAACAGACTTGCTATATATGGTAATTTTTCTCTGGTGGACTTGCTGTAAGTTTTGCAATTCTAATGTGGTTATCCTCTGCTATTTTGGACAATGCATGTATTATTATGCATTGGGTAGTAGTTTTTGTTTTTTTAAAGTTTTGTCAGATGACTTTTTCTTAAGTACATGTTTCCTACTTTAAAAACATTTACTGACAAAATACGCATTTCCTATGTTTGTTTATACTTGGATTATAAAAAAACTTTGTTTTGATTTATTTTTAACTTGCTGCATTGTTTTGATATCTTTTTTTGTTTGTTAGATTATGTTTAGAAACTTTGGATGAGTTCAGAAGTCTTAAGTATGCAAGTGTTTACGTGATTGTGCCATTCCAAAGTGCATCAGAACTGTCATTCCCTTCTAGTACCTTCTCAGGAGTAATACAGATCAGGTATTTCATCACCATTTGGTAACATACAAACTCCAGTGACTCCCAAGGACCCTCACCACATTTGTGTTCCCGTGCTGTGTGTAAGGGTGTGGGTATGTGTGAAGGGGTGAGTGTGGACACTCACTCTGTTTGTGTGTATCTCTGTATAAGCAGGTATACGCCACACTGAAAGTACTCAGTGTATATCTCTAACTATGTAGGTAGATACGTGTCTGTGTATATCTCTTTCCTTTTGTTTACAACTGCTCAAAAAAAAGAACACCTCAAAATAGCTCTCTTCAAAAGAAGAGATACAGATTCCAAGTGACCCATCTATTTTCAATATGTTCTGTACATAGTTACCAGAGAGGAAGTATCAGGCATATACATTTGCCTGTTCGCAGCGGTGACTAAAGCATCCCCGCGAGAACAGTACTGAGACGAACAAGTAGTCTAAGAGTAGGGAAAGCATTTCTTCGAGCTCTCCACCATAAGCAGGGAGTCTGTGTGGGGACATTGGTCACCTTTGGGGTTGCTGTGTACAATGAGATTTATAATCATGATACTCTTGGGTGGTAGTTTCAAAAGACACTACTAATACGCAGAAAGCGTTCCAGCTCTGTTGCTGGCAACTACTGTTTAACAGTCAATCAAATCTGTGATAATGGTTGGAAGTGGGTGGGATTATGAAATTTTAGATGTTTTTAGAAAAACTTGTGAATGAAAATGAATCCAAGTGTTTCATGTGAAGATGTTGAGCCATTTCTATCATGCATTCCTGTCTAATGGCAGAAAATTTTGAAGATTAAAAATAAAATAATCAAAATGTTTCATTTGTCTAAGTGTGCCTTAACTCTTTCTTCACGTACACTGCTAGTTCCTATGACTGTCTGTTCATTAGATAACATGACGGTTATCAGTTCATTACGGTTGCTGTTATAGATACAGCCATTCCACTAGTAACACACTCCATCTCATAATGGTAAAGGAAATTACTTCTGATTTATGCTTCCATTTAATAGGGAAATAGCTTCATTTTATTTCATGTCTACATCTTCTCTAATGTTTACGTTGGATAATCAATCCTAGTGATCCTAACTGCCTGCCTGCCCCAACTCTGCTGGCTGCCGCCGCCTCCCCGGTGTTAGCCCTCGTCAGCTCCTTGTAATCAGCAGGGCGCTGTGGTCCCTGCCTTCTGCTTCTCTGGCTCAGGGACAAGGATCCTGTGTACACCACGACCGTGACTTGGCTGCTACACGTTTTTCTTTATGAAGAGTTAGATTGAGAGTATTCCATACATTCCCCAGCTTTAAAATCATGGAAATGATGGGGTATTCATGATGACCTTACCCTCTCTGGTGACTGAAGACATGGTCACAGCCACTCACATACACGGCCATGGCTCACTTCACAGATTTTTTTCTTAAATGGAAGATTTGGCAGCCCTACACCAAGCAGGTCTATCAGCACCATTTAACAGGTTCGGATGATGGTTAGCAATTTTTAGCAATAGGGTTTTTTAATTAAGGTATGTATTTTCTGTAATACATATTGCTGTTGTACACTTTGCAGACTATAGTCTAGTATAAGCATAACTTTTATATGCACTGGGAAAGCAAAAAGTTTGTGTGACTTACTTTATCGCAGCGGTCTGGAGCCACACCTGCAGCATCCCCGAGGTCTGCCTCCACTGCCCAACCTGTGAGGGGCTGTCCCAGGGGAGGACTTCTCCTTCAGCAGTCCTGAGACAGAATGGCTCATGAGCACCAGAACAAGCCCACTAAACCGTGTGATTTTTATTTTTTTTCTTTTTTAAATATTTATTTTAATTGTTGTTCAAGTACAGTTTTCTGTCTTTTACTTCTGTCCCAGCCCACCCCCCGTGATTCTTACTCTTAATAAAAAAGGAGATCCAGCCCTGGCCAGTGTGGCTCAGTTATTTTAGTTGGAATGTCGTCCTATACACCTGAAGGTTATGGGTTCAATCCCAGTCAGGGCACATAACCTAGGTTGCAGGTTCAATTGCCAATCAGGGCATGTACAAGAGAAATCTGATTGATGTTTCTCTCTGAAAAATGAATAAATATTGTTTTAGGTATAAATCATTTTTCAATATAAAGGAGATCCAAAAAAACTTGTTTATAGGGAACTATAATAATGAGTTAGATTTTGGACATACTGGGGTGTTGATATAACTTCCAGAAGAAACTAGGTGTCCAACTTAAAAGCTGGAGCTGAAATGCAGAGGAGTGGAGACACATGTTTCAGGAGAAAGAAGAACTGCCACCGGAGGAACACCCATGCAGCCCAACACCCTGGCCCGTCTGTTTACCTAGATAAGGGCCTTACCGGGGCGTCATGTTTTATAACTTCAAAGCTTGCACTTTTCCCACTTACACTAGGAGAAAGACCCTCTTTAGAAATGGAGCAAAGCGGGAAAGGATGACACTAAAGACTCACAGGGATTTTGGAAATCAGAAACAGAACAGGGCCTGGGTCAGTCTCCAACCTCGGTCCAGGAGTGGGTAAAGTCACTGCATGTCTGTGTCACTGTCACAGAAACGGCCCTGGTGGAGAAGCCTGCTTTGTCTAGGATGCCCAGGACTAGTCTTCAAGAAGCACAGAAAGGTCTCCAGCCATTTCCCTCCCCTCCCAAAAATATATGCAGACCTACGTCAAGGGGCAGCTCCTGCTCTCAGCGTCTCAGATAGTTGACACCTGGCTGATCAGTTCACCTTTTCCTTGTGGGCAGCATCCTCAAGAGACTGGCTTACTGAACACATTTTTGTTGGGTTTTTTTTTCTTTTTTTTTTTTTTTGCCCTTAATTTACCAATCCAGAAGTCTGGCAAAAAAACTTAATAGCACCACTTCTATATCTCAAAAGGCAAAAACATGAAGAAATTGGCAAAACCAAAAACTCTAAGTGCTCAATGATTAAAATATGGCACATCCATATAACTAAAAGCTATTCAATGATAATGGCTAACGCAATATAACAAGTGCTTTATGTGTATTAACTCGTTCCATCCTTTCACAATCCTAAATTCTATCACCTCCATTTTACAGACAAATCTTAGAAACAGAAAAGCCAAGTTACACTACCAGCAGATGGCTGCACAGAGATTTGAAGCCAGGTCTTACCTCCAGAGGCCCCGTGGCTGGGGCACTGGAGATGTTTACTGTCAAACAACTGATTCTTATTAACATGAGAGAATGAAACGGGTTAAACTTATGGTAGGAGGGATTTAAGACCAGCTTAAAGAAAAACTACAGAAAGTGGTTAGGCTTTGGAGAAGGCGGCTTTGGGCAATGAACAGTGACAATGTTGAAGGGCCCCCTCTCATGCACAAGTCTCCCCTCCTGCCACCCCTACAAATGGAGCACAGAGCAGAAGAGCTTCGGGGCTCTAAGGTCACACTGCAACACCTGCTGCCAGCGACGGCCTATTCTTCCTGCCTTTGTTGGCCATAGTCAAGGCACCGTCCCTACTGTTCAATTTAAACCTATTTGCATGGTGATGCTGCTTCCTTATTTTCCAACCCTTGAGCAATTTTCATTTCATCAAAATGTGGCCACTGATCTCTGTCACTAGCCAAGTGCTTTTTCCAGGTTACCTCAGTCCACATCCCACACTTCCCATGGCAAGCCTGGAGGTTCTGCCAGCCCCATGCCAGGCCACAGGGCTTTGCTCTGCATCTCCTCTCCCTCAGCAGTGTAGACACATAGTCCTGAAAACAGATTCCACTAGGGAGCCACCCGCTGACAGCGGAACACGGGCGATTGCTGGTGCCGATGACAGCATCCCAGCGGGCTTACTCAGAACTGGCTCCAGAGGCCAAATCCAACTCCCCTCTAACTTGCACCAGATTGCACTAGTGCGGGTGTCTAACCTTCTGGCATCTCTGGGCCACACTGGAAGGAGAAGAGGTGTCTTGGGCCACTCACTAAATACACAAACACTAACAAACACTGAGGAGCAGAACAGAGGTTTCAAGTACACTTACGATCTCGTGTTGGCCTCAGCTGTGCTGGGCCACCCTGCAGGAACCGAAAGCAGGAGGTGCTAAAAGAAATGGCTACGGGGAGGAAAACTAACTACTTAATAAGAAGCAAAGCCTTCACACCTGGTCATCCCTTTTCATTCTCGATGTTCACATAGCCACCAAGCCAGAATGTGCCCTAGGAAAGGTCACAGGATACTGGAGCCTGCCTCTGCACGGTGACGTCCACTTAGCTGACACCGACTTGGAAACCTGGTTGGGAGCGAAGAACAGAAGCTGACACTGGCACCGAGCCAGCTGTAGAACTCCCTCTCAGTTGGCATGTCAGCTGCCGGGACCTCGCAGGCCTCTTCCTTCTGCGGATGTCAGTCTCCACAACAGAGATGCACTGGGCTGCCACATGTCCGAAGTGGCAGCGGGCGAACCCCAGGGAGCGTCTGTGGGACGAGGACCCACAGAAGTCATCCACTGAACAGGTGTCTATTACAAACCTACCTCATGCCAGGAACTGGGCTCAGGGAGTCTGACCACAGCAAAGATACAGTCCCTGTCCTCAGGGGGCACGTACCTGGAAAGGTGGTAAAGATGACCTTTCCAACTTCCCTAAACACTATAGTCCTCACCGTGGCTATGAAGTGTATGAAGTGGGAAAAGGAAATATTCCTATTAAGGAATCTTGGACTGGTCACCTATTAAAACCACCCATCCACTGCTCAAATCCTACAATAACATCCAAAAGGGTTACACTCTGATATTTAAAAAATAATGTAGAACTCATTCAATGGATTACTACTTAATAAAAAACTATTCATGCAGGCACACTTGAATGGAGCTCAAGGGCATTATACATAGTAAAAAAAAAATCTTGAAAAGTTTACCAACCTTCAATTTTCATTACATAACATTCTCGAAATGCCAAAACTGGAGAGATCAGAACAGTCATTGCCAGGGGGCATCACTGCAATGCGGTAGCACAAGGGGTTCCTTTGAGGCGGTGAAGTCTGTCTCTTGGTTGGGACGGTGGTTATGTGAATATGCACATGGGATTCAATTGCAGAGAAGCACATATGGGAATGCGTGCAAAAAAAGGCGGACATTGAGGAAGGCCTGTAGTGTGGGTTACTGTGTTGTGTCAACATCGATTTCCTAGTCTTACTATTACACATTATAGAAGATGTCACCATTGGGGAAAGCTGAGGGAGGGGTTCACCAGACTCTACTACTTTTCAAACTTCCCGTGAGTCTATGTATTTCACAATTAAAAAGTTTAAGAAGTAAGGAGGTAGAACCTTAACCTTCCATTTACGCTTCTGATGAGAATGTGGAAAAGAAAATGGGCCTTAGTTACTGCAATGAAGAAACTTCAGCATGATTTCCGTCGTTGTGCACTTGAGGGCACTCCACCTGCGGGTCCGCGCAGACTCTCTAGACTGTGAACCTGGGTGCTCTCCGCAGCTTTTCCAGCCACCCCTCTGCTCCCAGGGGGCCCGTGGGGCAATTCCTGGCCCCAGTGTGGGCAGGAAGGACCTGCAGGCACAGGTGCTGCTACTCAAAGCTGTGCTTCTCAAGCTCAGCACCTGGAGAGCAGGGCAAGGACAACTGGGGGCAGCTCACCTGCTGGCCCCCTCCCTGCTGAGAGGCACCTGCTGTATAACCGCCCACGGCAGGAGGTGGCCTCTTGGCGTCCTCTTCCTTCGCTTGGCAGTTGCCCTCTGCCTCCTCGTTTTTCTGGTACTCACTCCCTTTCTTGGAAACTCTTGCAGAAGCCAACTCCGCAGCTGCCTTCCCTCATGTGCTTGGGTGAATCATCTTCCCTTATTCAGAGTTCATAAAATGG